ATCGTGCCACACCTGCTGTGACACGGGGCCTCGGTTTCTACGGTCTCATCCGAAGGACCGCCCCATTTAGTCGCCTTTTACGACAAGCAAGGGGTACTGAGGACCTATTCTAACCCGGATCCCCACGGGGAGTGTTAGTAAATCGCATTGCGCAGCGCTGAATGAATGAGTGAATGACTGAATGAATAAAATAAAGAATGAGAATGATGTGTACAATTTAAAATACACATCCTAAAAATATAAAAAGTACAACTACCACAAAATGTCTTGTCACAAAGATTTCATATGTGAAATATGAAAGCTCTAATCCCTACTGTTCAAAAATTATGGCCAAGTTTAAAGTTTGTAAAAAGTGGATCAAACTCCAAGGTCAAGGTCAAAGGGTCAAAGTTGTTGATATCCAATGAAAGGTCTTCTCACAAGGATTACATATTTGAAGTATGAAAGCCCTAGCCATTACTGATCATAAGTAATGACCAAGGTTAGAGTTTTTTCGTAAGTACAGTAACCTCAAAGGTCAAGGTCAAAAGGTCAAAATTGTTGGTTTCAACTGAAAGGTCTTGCCAAAAAAAAAATTATATCTGAAGCATGAAATTCTTAGTATCTACCGTTTAAAAATTAGGGCCAAAGTAAAAGTTTGGAATTTTTGTGTAAAAGTGGGTTAAACTCCAAGGTCAAGGTCAAAGGGACAAGGTTCTTGATGTCAAATGAAAGGTCTTGTCACAAGGATTAAATATGTGAAGTACATGGGCAAGGTTGTTTTTTAGGGTAGGTCAAACTCCAAGGTCAAAGGGTCAAGGTTTCTGATATCAAATAGAGTGTGTCTTTTCACAAGAATTACATATGTGAAGTATGAAAGCCCTAGTGCTTACCGTTCGAAAGTTATAGGCAAGGTTAAAGTTATTTTTATAAGTACAGAAATCTCCAAGGTCAAAGTCAAAAGGTCAAGGTTCTTGGTATCTAATGAAGGGTCTTTCCACAAAGAATACATATCTTAAGTATAAATGTCCTGGTATCTACTGTTCAAAAAATATGGCCAAAGCAAAAGTTTGGAATTTTTGTATTAAAGTGGGTTAAACTCCAAGGTCAAGGTCAAAGGGTCAAATTTGGTGGTACCCAAAGAAAGGTCTTGTCACAAGGAATACACATGTGAAATATGAAAGTCATAGCTCCACTGAAACAAAAGTTATGGACAGGGTTAAAGTTTTTGCGGACAAACAGACAAACAGAGAGAGACAGAGACTGTCAGAGAGACAGACAGACGGACAGACAAAAACTATATACCCCCGAAACTTCGTTTACGGGGGCATAAAAACTTTGAATCTTTTACTTAGTATATGGTTTTGGAGGGGGGAGGGGGGAACAACAACAGACTTACATTAAAAAATGTTTGACAAGTTATAAAAGAGGAGAGAGAGAGAAAAGATTGTGCAAATTTGTGGTCAACACCAATTCAACCTGTTTATAGTTGTGATAGATCGTATTTTACTATAGTCCATCTGGACAGTTTAAAACATCATAGTGACGAAATACTACGGGTACCGGAAAGCCAAAGGCACCCTCCCATTTAACATGGAAAAGTTAAGTACAGTCTATGTTTAATCCAGTTTCTTTAAAACCACTTTATATTCACTTTCAGTGCAATAAACTTTTTATATAAGTTTAGCAATACTGCGGTTATATAAATGTATATATTTTTATCAGTGAGTCCACTAGGCCTGTAGTTGAACTTCATAAAATATACAGGTCTCTCTCCAAAAAAGTTCTAGAAATTGATCCTTGTATTTTTCTTTAAAAATACAATCATCGAATTTGATACATACAATCTACTAACTTTTATGTTCAGTTCTAGGTGATTTAATATTATTTAAAATATTGTTGTTGGTATTTAAGATATACAAGAGCCCATGCGTGCAATTTATAACTATAACAGACGTTCCAAATATCTATATATTATTAAACCTCTACCTCTACTGATTTTCCCTAAATAACATTTGATCATTAGATGTGATTATACTGTTTTTGTCCTATATGAACGTTAGGCAGTAAAATGTGAATAATTCCTTAGAAATCTCTGTGAATGGACTAATTCCCATGCGTTAGTCAAACGAGGCAGTCCCTGCTTCGGAAGCTAATTCCCCGGTTATCCGTTATCCTCTAGATTTTACTTTTGTATCAGTCTAATATGTTAATGGACTAATCCCTGGTTGTCAGTCAGGAAGCTAATTCCCCGTCAATCGTAATCCTATATATATATATATATATATATATATATATATATATATATATATATATATATATATATATATATATATATATATATATATATATATATATATATATATATATATATTTTTTTTTTTACTTTTGTATGGGTATAATCAGATAAAACAGTTAAAAAGTATATCATTGAGGGAGTTAGCAAGATTCCAATTCTCCTCGACCAAGACTATTTCTCGAGGCCCAATCCCTGTGCGTTAGTCAAGTGAGCTTATCCCTGCTTCGAAAGCTACAGTGCAGTAACCCCGGTTATCCGTAATCCTCAAAATTTTACTTATGCATTGGTATGATAATTATGTGGATCGACTAATCCCCGTGCGTTAGTTCAGTGAGCTAATCCCTGCTTTGAAATCACGCTATCTGAATCCTCTAAAGTTTACGTTTGTATCGGTATAATAAACAGTTTAAAAGTCTATTATTGCGGGAGTTAGCTTCGCCTCGGGAAATAGTCCTGGCCTTGGGGAACTGGAATCTTGCTTACTCCCTCAATGATATACTTTAGATGTACATGTATAATAAATACGGTAGTTAAAATAGTGAGCAAGATACCAATTTCCCGAGAACGGCACTATTTCCCCGTTCATAATTATTTTACACCGACTTTTCTTCTTTAAAATTAGATCGTTAGATGTTTTCCTGGGAATTCTTTAAATGGACTTTTATAACCCCCTTTTTGTCTAATTCGTATGTAGATCATTATATAGATATTACTTTTGTGTAATAAGCAGACGAAAATGATAAAGGAGTTACGGAGTTATGATGATTTTAGTTCCCTAAGTCAATGGTGTTGCCTCGGGTTTTGCATCGGGAAAGTCCTGGCCTCGGGATAAGAAAATGAAGAGGTTTATAAATTAATTGATACTATGTAATTTGTAAGGGAAATTTGAACCCTTAATTCTTTTTTAAAGGGGTATTGGCGCGGATCTTGAACTTAGCTTCCGTAATACACTTGTGTGAAAATTGTCCAAAACTAAAAAAATCCTATTTCGGGGGTGGGGGTGGGGTGTCCAAGTTCCTTTCACAATTATTTTTTAATTTTAAAAAAGGCGCCCTCGCGGGGAGGGGGCAGCCTTTTTAAAGGACTGTTTCAAAAATAAAATTGGGACAGATTCTCTGCCCACCCTTTACGATACTACATGTCTCAAATGAAACAATAATTTTAAGTTGCAGATAAATTGCGATTGTTCATCTGGTACATTTATCTTTATATGCATACCTCTTTGAAACTTGTAATCTTACCAGGAAATAGGACCATTACACGCTTAGTTTGGACTTTCAGTAAGGCGTGGCATTCTCGACGTTACCTAATTAGCTTCTGAAATTTACACCGCTTTCCTTCACTGTTGAAATATACATATGATAGAAATGCGGCAGAATGTCAACTGGTGTAGTAAATAGCCAATTAAAAGTTCTCTCACGGCATAGAGTGGGGCCATAAGTCGTCTTATTGTTGTCAACAATTTTAAGTTCCTGATGTTATTAATTTCTTAACCAATGAGAATCTACTAGTATTCGCCATTACGTAGCGCCGAGAATGCCACGCCCTATTGAAAGTCCAAACTAGGGAGAAAATCGTCCGAAATTTCTTTATCATAATATGTAAGAATGAACACAATCTGATTAAAATCCCAGATCTTTAATACGCTCCGAAATTCTGAGTCTTTGTACACCGACTATCAGAATTTCGGACTGTAACAAAGAGACTGAGAATAAACATTTCACATTCGACATTTTCAACGATATGCTCTCTGCTTACATTTTAGGTGATGAGAATATTTAAAGAAGCTATAGCAAGAAATCTGAGGCACCCAAAAAGTGGACCGGCAGGCTGGTTCGTCAGTGTAAGCTTCCCAAGTTCTTGATCAGACTTGTATCATACATCTAATATTTAAATAATTATTATGACGTTTCAGCAAATGATTTATTCATTTTCAGAAATACGTTTTTGAAGAAAAAAATAAATACTTGGAGAAAAACGCTGTCAACGTGTGCAACATTTCTAAAGATGATATTGTTCTAGAAGTGGGATTTGGTCCGGGGTTTGGACTTGAAGAGGCACATACTAAAATAAAAGGTTATTAATTAAATTATAAATGATAAGATTATTGTTGTAAATGTGAATTCATCAAAAAGAGAAACTCGGAGAGATTAACAATTGCAGGGTACATTTAAAATTTAAAACTCTTTCTTTATTTCTATACTGTCATATTGTAAATTTTGAATTTACTGGGTGGCAGTAAATACGAAATTTACAACATGACAACTTGTAAATTTTGTATTTACTGCCATCTGGTAAATTCGAAATTTACAGCATGACACTATCCTACAAGTTCAGTAAGAACTAGTTATATTTATTTAAATACCCCCGTATTATACTTTTTAAAGTACATGTATATATTGTGTTTTATCTTTACAGATGGAAAGGGCAAGGTCTATGGAGTTGACATCTCCCAAGCAATGTTAAAGAAGGCGGGACGTTTACTCCAGACTGAGATAAACTCGGGGAAAGTTGAACTAATAATGGCAAATGTCGCAAAACTGCCTTTCGAATCCGACATGTTTGATCACGTGTTTCACTGTAACTGTTACTATTTTTGGGATGATCAGGTTGCGTGTGCTCGAGAATTGCATAGAGTAATGAAACAAAATGCAAACATGGTAGCTGTATTGAACGAACAGGGTCTAAAAGTAGCGGAAGAAGCGGGAGTCTTGAAATACGGAAACACAGACCCACATAGATACATGGACTCTTTAAAGAAAGCTGGATTTCAGAATATAGATTTCAAGAAACTGAAAAGTGCAAAGGGTCATCCATTTAGTGCAATTTTTGCTCGAAAATGATTTTTTAAGCATAATGGCAGCTGTGAGTCCATGTCATAAGATCAATTCCCAGCTGTGAGTCCATGTCATAAGATCAATTCCCCATCAATATCCGGGAGATGCCAAGTTGAATTTATTTTTTTCTTCATATTTGTGATTGATTAACATAACAAGACTGAATGATTCTTACAGTATTTTGATATGAATTTTTTAAATAGTGTACATAGTTTATTATTTAAAAAAACAATACAAAAAACTTCGTTTATTTTGTATGAGATCTACAGAATCAGTATGTATGAGTTCTATATGAATACATGTGTGATCGTCTGAAAGCACGGGGAAAAGTTCCTCATTTTGCATCTGTTCGACAACGGAGCAGAGCTGATCATGTTTTATCATGTTGGCCAGGTGGAAAATGAAACTTGGTCATGATCTTTTGAGTTTTCTTGCACGTGATTTCTGTAACATCGTTACACTGGCGAATAAACCTAAAAATAAAGTTGGTAAGTGACCAATCATATGATGAATATTAATGGTGCAAAAAAAAAAAAATAATATTATTAATTTCAAAGTAAAAATTGACAGATACATGTATAATTTTCTGGATATTTCTTATCAATATATTTGTTTTATCTGTCTGAGTTTTATTTTAATTACCTATCACGATCAGACCGATAACTCCAACCAAGAGAGGAATGGCCACTGCAAATACTTTTGGCGGGAAAAAATTCTGTAGGAAGCTGTCCTTTTCTACAAACGACTGGAAAGATACCATGGAAATAAGAATGTCGTATATACCTCCACACACAGAGAGAACTCGAATTCTTAAGAGATAGTCTCCAAAGAGATTTTTATATTATCTTTTTCGACTAAAAAACATTTTATCAGTATTGATAAAATATATAATGCACAAAACAAGTACCAGCGCACTCCATGCTTTTTAAATCTTAAAACGTAAAAAAAAAATCACATCTGAAATACCTTACCAGAATGATAACCCATACTGTGTAGTAAATTCCAAACGTCACGGAGCCAGATATCAGGGACAAACCAAGCAATCTGTCCATTGCATCTCTGAACTGAAAGAAAGACAGGAGGCCCATGGGACACAACGCTCACAACAGGTTTTGAACAGTATGATATACGTGTATTCGGATGTAAAATTTTGATTCTGTAAATTTTTTGGTTCCACCCTAAATACATGGAACATAATTTGAATGAATCTATATTATATTTCAAGAGGATGCTTCCATCTTAATATTTGTTGTTCTTCGATCTTGATTGAACGGGTTTTAAAAAGATCCCCCTGTGTAGTCCCTACTGTGGTTCTGCCCTCCGTTTCCTGCCCCCTGGGACCATAATCTAAACACTGAACATGCCTAACGTTAGGCTTGGGTTCTTGAAAAGAAGGTAAAAATGTGAAAAGTTTACAGACTGACATATTGTAGCTGCAGAACAGTAGCTCTCCGAAAAAAATATTGACAGACCTGCAGAACTGTAGCTCTCCGATTTTTTTTCCGGAGAGCTACAGTTCTGCAGCTAGACATATTGACATGTCGGAAAAGCTCACCTGAGCTTTTTAATAGCTCAGATGAGCTTATAAAAGTAAAAAAAAAATGTAACACCCCCCCCCCCCCCCCCACACACACACACACACACAAACAACTTGACACTAAAAAAAATAACTGTTCTCCTATTCTCCCTCTCCCATCAAGGATTTTTACTCTTAATTTTCATAAAATTTAGTAAGCTTTTATACATTAAAAATTTATAACAAGAACAGTCCTCCATACCCTGACAATATCGATTTGGGTTTTCTCTTTTATAACCCGGAATATTCAAACGCGTGCAACGTCTTCGGGATAAATCCGATTATGCACATGTAATGATTGTATTGGTTATTTTGATATCCACCTTGATGAGAAAATGTATTTCTAGGTTGTGCATCACTAAAACTTCCAACAAATCGGTGCAGGTGTGTGGTACCGAGCTTGATGTGGTAGATTCATTACTGAAAGGTACGGTGCAAATTTTTTTTGACTTGTTTTAATTTTTTTTAACTTCTTACACAGAAGAGCGTTTGTAAACAGAGTACATTGCCCTTTTATCTCATAAAATAGATAACTGTCAAAAATCAAAATTAATTATTTCACAGACCGGTGTCCTTTTACAATGATTGTATTTTATATTGTAACCTTCTGACAGCTGAACAACTGTCTAATATTGCAGTAATTTCCGTGGAGGATGGTCAGAAATTCATAAAGATAATTGGACCTGGAAAGAGAGGTATGCTTTGTTAAAAAAAGACAATCTGAGCATCAGGTATATAGTATAAAAGGGGGGTCTTCTCCCCCATTATATCCTTGAATATTCTGTTTTCAAACTAATATGTCGACTGTGCAACCGTTAGGGCAAACACAGATAGCTTTTCATTTATAAACTGTATTTAGACATCTCTTCAACCCAAATGATGACTTGTTATAGCCCTTCTAATCAGTCCCTATATGATTTCTTACTTTAAAAAGTCCAACAGTTTGACTGTCTTCCCTAACTGTTGGTCCAAGAAGTGTTAAAATTGACTGTAAAAAAAAGACTGACTCTGTTGCCGGCTGACGTCAAATGGCGCTAAACTGAGTTATCTTTACAATCCAGGGGTCTAGAATTTTTTGTATAACTCACTTGCCCAAGGGCAAGTGATACAATAAATTTCACTTGCCCGCCTAAAAAATTCACTTGCCCAGCAAAAACACGAAACAATCAAGTTTTAATATTTTATTGACATTTATGTTTATTATATGTGACGTAACCTATTTTCGATAGTATCCTAATTTCGATAGGCTAATGTTTTTAACAATAAATCAGAAAAACTTTCGTAATTTTTTGGAACTCTTATCCCAAAATTACCACCAGATGTAAAAAGTGTAATAGAACTAAAAAGATCGAAAATTATGCCATTTAGAGAGGTAAGATTTTATTTTTCTTTTTTAACTATTCAAATCACGTCCTTTTCTCATAATGCCAAAAAATTCATTTTAAGACCCTATCTCCTAAGCCTGAAAACAACAATTGATGTTTAAATGTTATCGTCTGTTTAAAAGCTCTGTGTTATGGCTTAAAAATAGATAAGCCTCACTTTGGGCAAACTACCGCTTAAAAAAATAAAGTATGGAGGCCTGTCACAGGTATTTTATTTTAAATTTTGACATCTTTTAATGTTTTAAGTTTTGTTTCTGTTGATTTATTGTTCTTTTTTTTGTAGATATTTTCCATCAAAAGGGGAAATAACAAGAATAATTAAAGGCCAAAGGCTGTGGATAATGCTTTTCTAGCAGACAATAGGTCCTGGCTTGAAATTTCAGTTTTATAAAATTTCAACCAAAAAATAAAAAAAATATAATGTTAAAATTAATTATATTTTATTTGTTCTTAAGATTATAGTTGAAAATAGGACCAATAAATCCAATACAAGAAAAAATGACAAAAAACAAATACAAGAAAACAAAAACCCACACAAAATAATATAATTCGATATTTTGATGACAATAACTGTGCGCCATACTTGCTATCGAAAATAGGTGACATCATTCAAAAACAACTCGGATAATGGCAGATCCAAAGAAAGTTGAAACAGTACCGAAATTCTTGATTTCAAAAACAAATAAATGTCTGAATATATTTATTTACTGTTGACAAATAATACATAAATAATTGAGTTGAGAAAAACATAGATGCCTATATTAAATTTTTAACTAAAGTTTTACACTATCGAAAACCGGTAACGCCAGGATATATATCCAAATACAGGCTAACATTTTTCCCATGGTTTGAACATGTGAATATTTTTCCCCCAATTAAAATATTTATGCTATTTATGTCTCTGATATACTACAAATATTAATATGCTATATTGCATTGTATTTTGGATATAGACATATTAATACACTGTATGCTATATTTAATTGTATTTTTAAAGTCAAAATTATTGATCAGTGGATTATAACATTTATTTCGTTAATTCTAACATTAATCATTTAAATTTTAAGAGTTATAACCCTCAAATCACGTTCGTATCAATTCCGGGAAATTGAAAGAGTACTGTATTCGGTTTTTTATTTATACAGCAAACAAGTATTTCCGGTAGTGATAATGTACATTTTATTTGACGGGAAACCCTTCATAGCGCTTCACACAACTCACTAGCTAAGTAAATAAATTAAAATCAATAAATTTTTAATCAAAACTCCTGAAAAGAACAACTTTCAACAACATAAGTGTCTACTGTCATTTATTTTTACTTTCCCGAGCGGGTGAGCATGACCCACGATCGTACTTTCCCGTACAAATTTTTACTCACCCTGGGCAACGGGAAAGCGTAATTCTAGACCCCTGCAATCTGTAAAGGAGTATAACTAAACAGTTGTTGAAAGGAGTCTCGGTAAACAGTTGACCTGCTGGACCAGAGTGCAAACTGTTTCCCCTGGCCTACGGCCTTGGGCAACAGCTTGCACTCGGTCCAACAGATCGACTGTTTCCCTCTACCCCATGCAGTCAACAACTGTACAATATGTGACATATGGTACCTCTAGACTCTGACAATGTATGTAAGTTGCATTACCAAACAAAAGCCAGTGCGAAAGTGTCTCGCTGTGCTAGCTATTAAGGTCAAGATCTAGTAAATAACTTTAGACTAATTTTTTGGTGCTAGATCCATTATGACGTCACAATCAATTTCAACTTTCTTTTTCCCGTACTTTACGGCTTTAGCAGAATTATGTAGAAAATAGAGTATTTTCATGACATTCAATTTGAAATCATATGAAAAGTAAACCGGATACCTATATTAAATTTGATATTGATTTAAAGAAGAGGCTATGAACCTACTAATTACGGTTTTCTGAGAGTCTGTAGGCATTCTGGATACATTTCCTTTGTCGAATATGAAACAAACTACCATATTCATGGCTGCTTTCTTAAATTTTCATTGAAAATGACAGTTTAAAATACAGTTTCTCATCTTGTTAACCTACAAATTATGCCCCGAAACACATTATTTGACCAAGCTAAAGTTGTAAAGCATCAATAAAGGAATTTATTTCTCAAGTTTGATTAATCTGTAGGCACCTTTCATTTACTAGATCTTGACCTTAAGTAGATATAGTTGATTTATTGCAAATTAAAAATATAAAATAAATCATATTTCATTGCTTGATTTCAAAATTTCTTGAATTCTTATCTTTCTTTTTAGGTGAAAACAATCACACGGAAAGTTTTTCACAACAAAGACAATGTTTCCACACAGTTCCTGCATGCTTCTCTGACAAGTCAAACAATACTGATGAAAATGGTCATGGGTGTAATTTTGGAATAAACAACAAAGACCCAAACTCCCAAAAGTCCAAAACCATGTGTGCAGATGGTGCCAACTTTGATGCAGATGCATTTAAGAAAGCTAACCCCAAAGTGAAAGTGGGGTGGGCGATGTCTGCCATGAAGAGTGGGGATGAGGCCAAGAGACAGCAAATGAAGGCCTGCTCAGATCACCTTCAGGAAATGTGGCAAGAAAGGAAAGACAAGTCCCCAGTGTTAAAACAGTTCAGAGAATACTTGATGAAAAGTGATAATCCCTATGCATTTGTTGTGTTCCTGCTGAATGACTCCCATGATCTTCATGTTCACAAAACTGCGACTTTTTCCTATGCAATTTGTAAAGAATTTGATGGTTGGTTGT